GTCTCAAGTTTCCCAGCTATATCATGAACACTGTTTTGAATAAATTTGTGATGTGTAGTGATCACTTATTAGGTGATCAATTTTATCTATGTATCCAGATTTTTCCTATCTTCCTCAATTATCTTAAAATCTTTCCTACATTATAAAAAAAAATCCTTCCTGCCAATTTCTTGTGCTGGGTCTCACGTTTGCTTGTACCTACACTGAAGGTTTAGACCAGATATGCGGTGTGCTTTGATGTTTTCCTGTGTACTCCTCTAGGGACCTCTGAAACTTGAGCAGGAGGGCTATTTATCCCCGCTTCCAAACAGCTTCTTTTTTCTTCCAGGTTTATTGATTTATAATTGACATACAGCACTGTTGGAGTTTAAGGTGTACAGCATAATGGTTGACTTACCTACATCATGAAATGATTACCACAATAAGTTTAGTGAACATCCATCATCCCATACAGGTACAAAATTAAGGAAATAGAAAAAAAAAGGTTTTCCTTGTGATGAGAACTCTTAGGTTATACTCTTAACAATTCACATATAACATATAGTAGTTTTAATTATATTTATCATCTTGTACTTAGTTATCTTATAACTGGAAGTTTGTACCTTTCGGCTGCCTTCATCCAATTCCCTGTGCCCTTCCCTCCATCACCATCCTGCCTCGGGGAACCATAAATCTGATCTGTTTTTCTGTGAGTTTTCTTGTTTATTTGTGTTTGATGTATAATTGACCTACAACACTATGTTAGTTCCTGTTACACAACATGTAGTGATTTAATATTTCTATACATTTCAAAATGATTGGCACAGTAAGTCCAGTTATGATCTTGGTCACCATACAAAGATATTATATAGTTAATGACTGTATTCACACAATGTATGTTTCATACGCATGACTCATTTCAAATAACAGCTTCTTAAGAGTTAATAATAAAATCATTCCAATAAGTCACAGAAAAAGTTTGAGGATTACAATTATGTAAGAAATGGTATATAGATAGGATGTCTGTGACATAATTTTATATCGTGTGTTCAGTAAAAAATGGGCGAAATACTAGAAGTGAACACGTTCCCACTGAACTGTTCGTAGTATAAAGAAGAAATAAAAAGTATCTGCCTATATTAGTGCAGACAAAATAAAAATTAATCAGTTTTGCCTATTTTGCTGTCCATTTTAAATTTCTTTACAAAAACATTTAATTTCCTTAACAAAGATGTTCTTGTGAAAATGGCATCTGCCTATTGTAATTGATAATGAAAAAATTAGATGTGTGCAGAGATGGAAAGATCATACCCAGGGCCACTGTCTCAGATCTACCCAGTGTTAACACATTGGTAGTTAACTATCCAGGATGACTAGGAGGTGCTTTCTAAAAATAAAAGTAATTTGGCTGTGTCCCTAGCCCGAATGTGTATCACATCACACTTTCTGGGGTTGGTGACCAGGAATTTTCTTCCTTCCCTCACTTCCTTCCTTACTGTTGTTTAATTGCTTAAGTTATACTTGAATATATCTATGTTGTAAAAGAGTCAAACAGTAAACCCTGAACACAACGGGGAGACTCCTTTAAGCCACCTTTACCCCTCCTGTTCTCCACAATCAGAGGTAACCAATGTCAGCAGTGCACCTCCAGGTACATGTAGTGCATTAATATGCATAGGTAGGTGTATTTACAATTGTTAAAAAACCAAATGGGGCATTTTTGTGTATATATACTGTTTTATGATTTGCTTTTTTAGTTCATATACTGGTGAGGTTTTTTCAGTATCCTACATAATTTTATACTGATGGGGTCTGTTTTGCTCTGTTATTTTTATTATTTTATTTATTTATTTACTTTGGTGGGGGAGGTAATTAGGTTTATTTATTTTTTGGAGGAGGTACTGGGGATTGAACCCAGGACCTTTTGCATGCTAAGCATGTGCTCTACCACTTGAGCTATACCCTCCCCTTTTGTTCTATTATTTTAATTTTATTATTTTACATTTATTTTTAATGAAATAAATGAGTGTATTTCTAGCAAATAATTTAACTATACAAAAAAGCAAAAGTTCTCCATGAATCCCACACCAGAGGTAATTTCTGTTACCAATATGATGTGTACTTTGTCCTTCCTGTTTTTTTTTTTTTAATATATTTATATACAAAAACCCACACATACACATACATGTATGGCTTTGGTTTTTTAAATTCTTACGTCCATTTTTATGCAACTTGCTTTTTTTACTTAGCAGTATACCTTAGAGAGACTTCCTTGTTAATAAACCGATACCTGCCTCTTTATATTGTATTCCAGAGTATAGATTAACTGTAGCTTATGTAACGTTTTGCTGCTGGTGAGCATCTGCTTTGTTTTTATTATCTAATAATCATATGTAATATTACAATAAAAATTCCTATATATGCATCTCTGTATAACTGTTCAAGTATCTTCTAGTATTAGAAAAAAAATGCTATAATGATGGGAATGTGCATTCTTAATTTCAGTGAGAACTGCCAAATATCTTCCCAAACTCTGGTAACACTTTGATCTCGGTATTGTTAGTAATTTTCTATACCAATACGAGGTATTATGTATCTTAACATATTTCTGTTCTCAAGGATGATCTCATTATCATATTAATTGATTTCATCTTTATTGCTTTGGATTCTGTTGTCCATGTTTATTTTGGGTATTAGCTTTCTTTCTCCTCCCGATTTGCAGGAGGTCTTTTGAAAAAAATAGCCTTTCTGGTTTATGTGTTGCAAATTTCTTCCCTCCTTTCTCACTTGTCTTGTTAATGATATATTTCACCACATCAAAGTATTTAAATTTTAAGTACTCATTATTATTCTTTACATCTTCTTGAATTTTTTTCTCGCATAATTTTTTCTCAATTCAAGATTCATACGTACACTTCGGTAATTAAATTCTGGGAAATGATTAAATTTTATTGTCCCAAAGACATTTATAGAATTTTTTTCTCACTGATGTGTAATACTATCCATATCATAAGATCAGTTCTCAAACTCCTGTGGGTTTGTTTCTGAAGTCATTTCTGTCCCATTGAACTATTGGTCTAGTCTGCTTCCGTATCACAATTTTCAATGACTATAGCTTTATAAAAATTTTGCTGTTTGATTGGGAGCATTTCTCCTCAGATAAGTCCTCAAAAGTTTTTTCTTACGTATTTTTATAGCCAACAACAATTTATTTCACTGTATTACAAAATATTACATAAATTCTTCTTGGTATTTTGGTAGTGATTACACTGAGTTTTAGATTAACTTAGAGGCAGTTTTGTGGTATTGAGTCTTTTTGTCCTGAAATTTGTTGTACCTTTTTATTAATTCAGATCTCATATGACCTTCAGTCTCAAGTTCTATGGTTGTCTGCCTAAACGTCTTACACCTTTCTTCTGTGTTTCTTCCTGAATATTTTACTGGATTTGTTGCTCTTGTGATCGGACTTTCTAATATTATTGCTTACATATAGACAGGGTTTTGATTTTTTATATGTTGTTTTTTTAGCTGTAGAATTGTAACAAAATCTATTAGTTCTTAGAGTATGTCAGTTGATTCTCTTCATGTTCTTGAGTAGCTCTGTCCAGTAGAACTATAATGGGAGTCATAGGTGCAAACCACATACATAATTTAAAATTTTCTGGTAGTCATATTTAAAAAGTAAAAGGAAACAGGTGAAATTTATTTTAATAATACACTTTAATGCAGTGTATCCAAAATGTCATAATTTCAACATGTAATTGATATTAAAAAATAGTGAGAGATTTTAACTTTTTTTATATTAAGTCTTCAGAATTCACTGTGTATTTTATACTTGGAGCACAGTGCACTTTGGACTAGCTACATTTCAAGTGCTCAGTATCCACAGTGGCTAGCGGCTACTGTATTGGACAGTTTGCAGTATTACTTGCAAGTAACAAATTTTTTTGATCTTTTTTTTTCCCCTTGCCTTAATGCTTCTGTTTGGAGCTCCCATAGTACAGTGCTGATTAATGGGAGTCCTTCCAATGTTTGACCATTGTGGATTTCTTATTAGATAGACTTTAGAAGCCTAAGAGGTTTCTTTCCATTTCTAGTTTGTAAGATTTTTTCTTCTTTTAATTAAGAATAGGTTTTAAGTTTAATTTTTTAAAAAATTGGCATATATTGAAGTGACCACATTTTGTTTTCTTCTATATTTTTTAAATGAAGAGAAATAATAGGTTTTTTTTTTAAATGGTGAACGATTCTTGCATTTCAGAGACAAAACCTTCTTGATCATGATTCATTTATTCTTATAACAAAGTTTTCTACAGGAGTTCACCTGCTTCTGTTTGATTTAGGTTATCTCAGAATCTCTATTCATTTCTCTCTTTTGTTTTAAATGCATTATTTACTCAGTTTCTATATCAAGGAAATTTTTCTGGCCTTGTCAAATGAGTCCTATAGGTAGGATTTGGGTTCTGTACTTTGGAACTGCATGTATGATATGAGAATTATCTGTACTTTGAGGCTTTGGTAGACTTATTTGTAAAAAAAAAATCTGGACTTGGTTTGTTTTTAAGGTTAGCTCCTTGACTCTTGTTTCCACTCTTCTGAGGTTATTTATCCACTCAGGAGTTCATCTTCTTTGGCCAATTTTGATATTTTGCATTTTCCTGGATATTTTAATATTTTGCTTAGGTTTTCAAATATATTGGTATACAGTTGTACATGAAATTTTCTTATAAATACGTATGTGTTTTCATATGTAAAGAAAAATCAGGAAAGATATATAAGAAAGTTAATGTTATTTTGATTACTTATGGGAAGTGGAATTGTGGGAATAAGGAAGGACAGTCTTTAAAAAGTTTATAGTCTTGGGCCTGAGAATTTCCAAATTATGGACTTGTTTAACTTGCATAATTGAAAAAGAGAGTGTTATTTCAAACTTTAAAATATGAGAAAGTGTAGAATTTTGCACCGAAATAGATTCCTCTTGCTAGTCCCAGCACATCTGAACTGTGTGTTTTCTTCTCAAGCTGGACTCTGGACTGTCTTCACACTGGGTGGCGTGGGCAACAAAGCGGCTGCCGCTCCAGAACTTTCTTCCCCGCTGGCCAATCAGAGTCTCCTGCTTCTGCTGGTGCTGGCCAACCTGACCGATGCTGCAGACGCCCCAAACCCCTACAGGCAGGCCATCATGTCCTTTAAGAATACGCAAGGTTTGTGGTACTTTTTTTTTCTCTGAATATTCTTTCTAATGAGGAAAGAGGGTAATGTTTACTCCATATTGTTTATTTTCTTTCAGTTGTGAAGGGGACTGTCAAATTGTGTATTTTCATATTGATTCAAGATGAGTAAAACTTAAATTTTACGTCCCTATTCTCAGGAAGATCAAGTGTGTCTTAGGAGGGCTCTGGTTCTTTATTTTACGTTTATGTTTACAGTTCTTTCAGAGATAACCAAGCCAGCATGTGCTGAATTTGGATCCACCTGCCCTACCTATTAGGGAGAGGAATTAATTGGAAAACTCAAAATGATAAGTTGTTTGAAATTTTCTATTTAAAGCCTATATTCCAGGTAGAGTTTTATAGAACTAAAAATAAGAGCAGAATTCAGCACACTTTTCTGCAGAGGGGCAGGTGGCTTTGCAGGGCCATGTGGTCTCTGTCACCACCTCTTATCTGCCTCTGTAGCACAAAAGCAGTATAGGTAGTGCATAAGCAAACGAGCATGGCTCGGTTCCAGTAGAACTTTCTTTCCAAAACAGGTGGTGGGCCGCCTGTGGGCTGTAATTTGCCAGCCCCTGAAGTAGAGTCTGGGCAGATAGTGCCATGTGGAAACAGTGATCACTTATCAAAAGGTTACACTCTAAAAGCAAGATTAATATGGTACCTAGATTTTCCAGATACATCCAACACTAATATAATTAAGATGGGTAAGAAGTGCGGTTATTGGATAGGAACATTTTTAAGGCTTCTGGTGCTCTTTGCTTTCTTCCTTTCCCGAGCTGTTCTAATAAACGTTTCTTGCAGACAGTGGATGAGCGTGCCAGTTAGCCGTGGCTTTGCCAATTCTCACAGTATTATTTGTAGGGGAATATGAGTCTCTAAAACAATTTGATACATAAGAAATGAAAACTCATGGATCTAATAGTATTTTATCTTCTCATTCCTATACTCTTCTTGGTGACAGTGTGGCTTAAGGGTTAAGTTTTGGAGTCAAGCTGACCTGAGTTCATGCCGTACTTCTGTCACTTCAGAGCTGTGAGTCCTGTCACAGCTTGTGTCATCTCAGTAAGCCTCGATGGCTTTTTCTGTTAAAATGGACATACTGTCACCTAATAGTATTTGTATAAGCCCAAACAAGGGAAGGTTTTAAAACGACTAGCCCAGATTTCTCAGTGTAGCAGGAGCTCAGAACTTGATATCTGCTGTTGTTACCTGTGTTGCTCTGGCCAAATGATACTAAGTTTGGATCTTCTTGGGATGGTCATGTTTTGGGAGGATATGTAATACAGAACACTGACTCCAGGGTTAGACTGACCTGGGTTCATATCCCAGATTTTATTCTTTAAATACTAGTTTCCTTATTTGTGAAGCGAGGATTATAACCTCTACCTCAGAGGGTTCTTGTAAGAATTAAATGAGCATTTATCATAGGACAGCCTCACTAAATTATTGCTACAATTGTAAGAAATAGTATAATGCAGTGAAAACAACAGAAGCTGGTCTGTGTTTTACTCAGTTACTTAATCTCTAAGCCTGTTTCATCCTTTGTAAAATGGTCAGAGTAATGGCATGGTTGTTGTATGGGTCAAATAAGAGATAATAGACATAAAGCCATCAGTATAACGACCGTTTCATAGCACTTACTAGCTAGTCATGTATAGATGTTGTGGATATATACGAATTCCATTTGGAGTCATGTATAGTGCAGGTTGGTGAATATGTACTTCTTCCATTCTGAAGAGGTATAGTGTGTCTAGAATCTTCCTCCACTGAGTCTTCTGTAGATTCTGTAAAATTTGCCTACTCCAGATACATCCAGCATTTCCTTTTGCCATCCCTTGCAAAAAGATGAAGTCAGTCTCAGAAAATAATTATTTTTCTAAGTGTCAAAAATACAGTGTTGGATTAAAAAAGTAACCTGTGTTCTAAACGTGGAAGGAGAAGTGAGGGCACTTCGTAGTAAGGTAGCAGACATTTTTTAGATGCATTCTTTTCACAAATGTAAAGGTCAGAAAGGAACATCTGAGAGGCATGGAACTGTGCTAGCAAAGATTTTGTTGGCACACATTTCTTCTCCATAAGAGCATGGCTTCTGGAAATATTAAAGCAGTGTTTTTTTCAAGTTTTGTGTTGTTTTGTTTTGCTAGTGGTTCTGTGTCTCTTAAAAAAATTATTTGTGCTTACTTGTCAGAACACATGGAAATACCAGCTCTTTGTGCTGCTATGTTCCTGTGTTTTATCTGACGAGACTAATTTTCTCTATGTCAGTTGACCTATCTTTACCTCTTATTTTTGGCTTCCTAACCTTGCTTGCTTCAATTTTTAAGCAAATCCAGTAAACTTTAGGAAAGGGGCTATGTCAGTTTTGGAATATCAAAAATGTTCCCTACATGGATTGTTTATGCTTTTCATCATTCCAGTGTTTCTACTTAAAAAAAAAAATTCTTAGCCATTGTAGTCAATTAGTTTTAGGTTCTCCTTTAAGCAAAAATGTTATAGAAGTTTTCTGATAGTTGTTAAATACCGCCCCACAAAAAAAAAATAAAAGGAAAGAAAGAAAAGAAAAGATGAAAAAAAAACTACATAAATTATATGTTGTATTCCTAGCCGTTTTCTTCATAAATGAGCGAATGACATTGGTGACTACTTCAGCCATGATCATTCATTTGAAAAAAAAAATTAACTTAGCTTCAAGGAAGTTTTTTCTTTTTACCTCTATCTTATAAGAGAATTTTGTTTATCTCTGGATAGTTTTATTCAGGACTGGTGGTCATTTAGTTTTGGTGACAAAACAGATCTCAGTGTCATGGTCAAATTGTATGTATTTGAAGGCCTTTTGCCTAGGCCCATAGCTGTGTTTATTTAAGCTCATATTTTTATTGGTGATTTAATCCAGCTATATTAATGCAAAAGTAGTAATGAAGTCATGACTTAGTTTAGGTTTTTTTATATTTGGCTTTTAAAAAAAATAAGTCACTGTTACACGGTTTTTACTCATATATCTATAATCATTGGAAAGATGTGGTGATTTAGATAGTACAGAGAAGTGAAGTGTCCCAGTTTAGGTTAGCTTGGGGGTCTTGTTTCTTTTGTTTTTGGGGTTTTTGTGTGTGTGTGTATGAAAACATTTCAGTTCTGCTTTCTTAGCAGATTTCAATTACAAATATCATGTTATCAAACTGTAGTCATGTTTTATAGTAGCTTAGTTCTTTTTAAGGTAAAATTTACAGTATAAATAGAAATTTTGAATCTGAAACATAGCAACTTTCACAGAATTAATGAGAATTGAACTGTATTAATTAACGGTGTTTTTATTATTTATATAAGGCACAGTCTAAAAAATACTGATGCAATATTTTAAAATTTTTGTTTTCTGTATTCCAGATACCAGTCCTTTCCCCTCATCAATTCCACATGCTTTCCAGATTAACTTTAACAGTTTGTACATGGCCCTGTGTGAACAACAGACATCTGATCAAGCAACTCTCCTTTTATATACATTGCTCCATCAGAATAGTAATATTAGAACATACGTGTTGGCTCGCACAGATATGGAAAATCTTGTAAGTAACATACTAAACATGGTTTCTTTATTTTATAATATTTTGAAGAGTATTTTATTTTCCCAAGAGGCTTTGTGTTTGACAGGTTGCAGAGGTGATGGTCAAGAGACTTTGGGGAGATGTCACCAAAGGCAGAGGTGTGAGTTTCACAGTGTAGGAGACAGTGGGCGTAGAGATGGTGTCACAGAGCAGAGCGGGGGAACACAGCAGCATGACAGGCTTCCCTGTCCTTTTGGTCCTTAACAGCCACCACTGCCCGTGATTCGGCCTGGACCAAGTCCTGCAAGAAGCACTGGCTGCCAATCTCAGGAAGATTTTCATACCCCCTTGATTCCTTTCTGCTGCTAAGTGCCCGCCCACCATGTTCAAGTAGCTTGTCACAGTTGCAGCATATTCCTGAGGAGCGTGGCTAGAAGGAAGGGTGATTTTTCAACTCAGTTTCCCAAGTGTCCAGTCCCTTCAACAGGCTTAGACTTTAAGGCTGTCTGAATTCAATTCCTGGAGTGTTACAGTTATTTTAAGATACCACTGCCAGACATTACATAAATGCACTTTATCCTTCACTGTATGAGTGAAACTAGTTCCATATTTTTGCTCGTAGATAAAAACACCTGTGGGCAATCATTGATTTCCATTATAACTAATGTGTAAACAAAAATGTTTCTATGAAAAGTAAGCTACTTCAGTAAGATGTTAATATTATGTTTGAAACATATAATATATAGATCCATTGGCCTATTCATGCATTAATAAAACTCTGAACATCTCTAAACTAGCCAGCAGCTTGCTGGTGGCAACAGGAATGTCCCTGCAGCATCAGTTTTTACAGGGTGATAGCAGAATTCACCAGGAATTTGGTGGCCATTTTTTCAGCATTAAAGATGAAAATAATGAAAAAAAAAGATGAAAATAATGAGTAAACATGGAATATTAGAATTTATTTGAAGAGCATATTCCATGTCAAAGTGACACTAAAAAAATGTGATGTGGGAAAAAACATTGGCTTAAATAGCAAAATTGAGTGTAACAGTGTACTGCTTATTATGTGAGTAAAAGCTTGTAAAGGAAGGCTTGTTTATGGTAAGGATCTTGGTACATAAAATCGTGCGGAAGAACAGTCTATATGATGACTTAACAGGGAAAAGTTAAAAGATTTTATTTTGGGATTCTTTCTGTGGGAAGGGGTGCGGTGGGCTTTGTATATTTGTTTTGTTTTTAATTTCTTGCATAGGTTACTTCTATATGTCTTAACTGATGTCCTTCCATGTCCTTGTCTTTCTTCTATGATTTGTTGAGGCAACGATTAAAAAATAATTTACTGGTCGGAAATTTACTGTGCTGATTTTGTAGTTGTTAACGGTAGTTTTATTCCACAATCTTTGCTATTAAACAAATGGTGTTTGACGTAATTACAGTGTTTCTAAGAGTGCTTCGTCATGTAGGTTCCTGCCAGGCTGGAGGCCCACTCGCCTCTCTTCAGTGTCAGGTATTGACCATGAGCCTAAATGGTCTCTGTAAACCCAGCCTTACCGTGGCAGCAGACCTTCACCGAGGGGGATGATTTTCTCTGCTGGTACCTAAGCTATACATATGGAAAGTGCTTTTCAGTCACAGACTGGTTTGTGTGGGGTTTTTTCCCTCTAAAGGAATATCCAACTATGAAATTAAATAAAGCAAAGGGTACGTAATAAAACACAGAGGTTTAAAACATTGGTTTTATAATAAAGTGAAATAGTAAATTAAAATTTTTATTTGCTAGGTTTTACCAATTCTTGAGATTCTGTATCATGTGGAAGAAAGAAATTCACACCA